TTCTGCTCCGCTGTACAAGGCCCCGTTTATACAGCAGGTTAGTTCTGGCTACTGCTGTACAGAAGGCCCCAGTTATACAAGCAGTTTAGGGTGTCTGGGCTACTGCTGTACAGTAGGGCCCCGGTTATACAGCAGGTTAGGTTCTGGCTACTGCTGTACAGAAGGGCCCCATTATACAGCAGGTTAGTTCCAGACTACTGCTAGATAGGAGGGTCCCGTATACAGCATTAGGTTTCCAGACTACACTGCTATATAGGAGGTCCCGTTATACAGCATGTTAGGTTTCCAGACTACTGCTATATAGGAGGGCCCCGGTTATACAGCAGGTTAGGTTCCAGGCCACTGCTGTAAAGTGAAACATAGCTTTTCACTTAAAATGCATATAAAAAACCTGATCACATGTTTACACTATCATATAGTAGTGAGAAATAAGAGCTAGACCCTAAAAAAAAGCATATACAGTAAATTACCTTTTGAAAAAAAAAAAGAAGTTTTCGTCCTTACCTTATAGTGAGTGATTAGTATGTTTATCGCTGGAAGTTTGAATAAATTAAGAACGAGTATAATTGAAAACCAGTGCATTAGCAAAATGCTGTAAAGTGAAGCACCATAAAGCAGGGCCTGCCTGTACAAGATTCTTATTTTTATTATTAACACACTGGCCAATTCCCACCAAGGCAGGGTGACCCGAAAAAGAAAAACTTTAACCATCATTCGCTCGATCACTGTCTTGCCAGAAGGGTGCTTTACACTACAGTTTTTAAACTGCAACTATAAAATCAATTCACAAGTAGATCTGAGAATCATATAGGACACCACTGAAACATGAAAGATGGGACGGGAGGGGCGTGGGTGGAAGTTAGGCCTATCTCTGCAAAGACAATGGCCTGACCCACAGGCTGGCTGCCTGTGAGTTTATTAGACAGTCCAGCCTAGCACCATCTTAGATTAATTTCATAAAGTGATGCTCAAAATTATTCTAAAAATTTTGTAATAGTCTTATATTGAAAACATTATAGAAGGTCAGTGGTCTACTGTAAGCTATGTTCATTGTATGTAATCTGCAATCACAGTATGTAACTGCCACAGTTTTTGAAGTCTGATGAGAATTATTTTTATGCAGAATAAATTGTTGTCTGGACTGGTTGATGATAGCAGTGCTACCATGGACTTGGACACCTGGTCCATTGTAGCAATGTTACCATGGACCAGGACACTGCTACCATGGACCAGGACACTGCTACCATGGACCAGGACACTGCTACTGTGGACCAGGACACACTCATCGACTCCTCAACCCTCAGAGTTAGCAACCCACCATATTTTTACCTATTTATATCCATAAATAGATTAGTTATCCCTCTAACATACCAGATATACTCACATTACACATGTATACACATACACCCGCTCAGAATTGTACATGAAAACAGCCACGTGTGTACAGATTTATGTATTTATAGAATATATGTAGGTTACATATAATTTTATATACTACGTATATTTATATTTATAGATTTTATAAAGACTTAAAAGCATGCCTGCTTTGCATGGTGTTATTTTAAATGCTAATAGAGGTCACTGTGAGTTATTAAATTGCTTATTTAAGTTCTTATGACTTTTACAAACTGTGCAGGTATGGGCTGCTGTGTTCTGCTGTGTGTTGCTGTGGTTGGTGGTCAAGGTGTGGCACTGTGGGGGTGTGGCCAGTGGGTCATTCTGCATTATGAGGTGGTGTGGGGCACTGGGTTGGTAGGTAGTGCCAGTGGACAGTACAGCAGCTAGTGCCAGGGGGACAGTACAGCAGCTAGTGCTGGGGGACAGTACAGCAGTCAGTGCTGGACCACAGCACAGCAGTCAATGCTGGACCACAGCACATGACAGCCAGTTCTGCATCAAGGCACACAGCAGATAATCCCTGGTCATGGGTTAATAGCAAGTGCCAAGATACAGCACAGCAGTCAGTGCCAAACCATAGCACACGACACCCAGTGCTGAATCGCTGCATGCAGCAGATGCTGCCAGACTGCAGTACACAGCAGCAGCAGCAGCTGGTACCTGTAGATCGTGCATGCCAACGACCACCAATCTTCCCCTGGTCAGGACAAACTCCTCACCGCCTCACTGGACATGACCGACTACCCCCACAACAGGGATGTATTATCCAGCTTGTATTGTTCTTCTCAGTATGTCCCATGTTGCCAGACCTTCGTAATAAATCACAGCTTTAAATCATGGAGCAGGTAGGGGATCTGAACCCATGGCAAGCAAATCCTAAAACTCAGAGGTCAGTGTGTTAACAACTGTACCAGCTGGGTATAGTAAGAGTCATCCAACTATATTTCTATATACCATAGAAAGGTTAGCATAGGCCTACCACTGTGACCACAAATGCAGCTTTTTTTTACAGTTGAATCCCACACCAATGTGGCTGTGTTGAACTCTAGCTATAAAAACCATCATTTGTGGTCACATTGGTAGGTCTATGCTAACCTCCCAATGGTGTATAGAAATACAGTTGTATGAATTGTATTATAGCCAGCTGGTACATTTGTTAACACACTTGCTTGTGAGTTTTACCACTCACTTGCCTTGGATTTAAACCCCCACACGTTCCGTGACTTGTCTGCAATCGTGTTATTACGATTTCGTGATTCACAGCTTTTAAGCTCCTCGAATAACGCATCATCAGTATGAAGGTTCGACAAGACTGAACCTTCCTGATGTGTAAACTATCCCAGTTCAACAAAGAAGCTCAGTGTTCACAACCCAGTTAAATCAGTTCCAATAGATTTTGTGTTCTGTGTATATACAGTAATTAAAATTCTGTGAATTGTTGCTCGTTGAGACGTATGTAAATTTGTGCATTAGTTTTTTTAAAATTTTAATAATTATTGTTATAATTCTATGTGACCCTAAACGAGTGTATCGTACTGTTGCCTTCATCCTCCCCAACCCTGATCTAGTGTCGCGTTTCTGCAACATGGGCAAAACGCTGGGTAAAAACTTCAAAGCTGGATATATGACAGGCATTCCTCCATGACCCTGGCCAAATTCTGAAGAATTTTAATTAATCATTACGTAAATTTGTCAAAAATGAAAAATCTATAGCACTGATTTTTTACTCTGAAATTCCTCATGCCATCAATTTAGGCATATTCAATGGGCATAAAATTTCTCTGAACACTATATCACATTTTTAACTTTGATAATGTACGTATATAAAATCGTTTTTAGAATTAATTTTCAAAGTAGCTATAAGTGTTTTTGTATACTAATAATTGTAGATGAATATACATAATCCAGAGTTTGGCCAGTTTGGTTAATAAGACATATGGTTTTACAGTGCTACCTGGATACTACGATGAATTTAATAAATAGACAAAAGCCTTTTATTTTCAAAAAGCCTCTTTATTTTATACTTGGTTATTGCCTTTGACACTTTCTTTCGTATGCTATTTATTTAATCCATCTGTTTGTTCCTCACGCTCCTTATAAGAGCCGACAGTCACACAGCAAACCTTCGATACAGCGAACTGATAGCGGAGATTGTCCAAGTGTTCCTTAAATCAGAGTAATGATAAGAGCAAAGAATTCACTCATATACTTTATTATAGACCTATTGCTCTAAACACACTCCATAGCTGTAGAACAATTAATACTGGAAATATGGAAATTAAAACAATATGTTTTTATTATTTTAAAATTTTATGTTATCAAGATTAGTTATATGAAAGATCGTTATATTGAGGTGCATTATAATTGAAGTCTCTTATATTGAGGTTCATTATATCAAGATTATATTAAGATTATATTAAGATGCATTATGACTGAGGTCAGTTTTATCGCGGTGCATCACATCAAGGTTTGTTATATCAAGGTGAATCATATCAAGGCCTGTTATATCATGGTAGATAAAACAATTCTATTATATCAAGGTACATTGTATCGATGTCTATTATAGTGAAATCCGTTGTATCGAAATTCGTTATATTGGAGTCCGTTATATCGAAGGTTCGCTGTAAACTTGATATTTTTGGGCCAAGAATCCACTTAGCACTGCTATGACACTTTTGAAGTGACCAGACACAGTTAACATATAGCCCTAAGATGAGTACAATCTCGGGATGAAGTGAAATTTTGCGAAGGGGAGAGCTGCACTAAAATTTTCAATGCAATTTTTTACAGTCAATTAAAAAATAAAAGAGTTTTGAACCATTTCCAAAACAAAACAAAAGCTACCATTGATAAGTGACGCAAAATTGAAGAACAGACTGGCTACACAACAACAGTTTTTGCATGACCGCCTGGAGCGAACTCTCTTGTCATGGCATTTCTAGTTTCTTATGTTCTCAGATCAAAAGTTCAATGTGATGGTATTATCTTTTATCAGTATTCCTACCATTAGTTTCGTTTCTTTATAGCCTGAGTTTCATGAAGTTTCTTTCTTACCAGTGCTGCAGTTTAGTTTTGACTCATACTAAGTCTTAAGCGAGTTTTTCAATGTGTAAATATTTCCTTTGCGACATTTTTAGACCGACACGCCCCAAGTGTCAGTACAGGCGTACCCAACTGCCACAGATATTGTCTTGTTAGCTCTATCCATAAGACTCGATCTGCGACTCTTTGACAGACAGAGCATCATCGAACATTGCCTTTCACAATAACACGACAGAAGACCACAGTGCTGCGACGTCATCCGACGTCAGTTATTATGCCAGTCCCTCACGAGACAGACGCCTCCTCATTTTTCCTCATTTGATAGCAATAGAAGAACGATACAAGCCTTTTTTTTCTTCCCTATTCCACAACCTCTTGGTCCCGTCATCGACCAAGATCGGTAAGACTGTATATTGTGTCGTAGGAACGATGATGACTACACACAGTTCCTCTACAGATAGCGTCGTTGACGTTTGTTATATTTTGGTGAACAATTTGGCCCCGTTTTGAATTGCGATTTGCTCCTTGAATTCGGTAACGTTAAGCTCTCCCACTCGCAGCTATCACTGCCATTCCCAAGATCGTATGTGAGACCATCTACACCCTGGGACTCCACGACGAAGCGCCGGTGTGGAAGATTATGGACCAGTACGGCAAGATCACCGTTGTGCTTTCCTGGGATCCCTGCCACCGGGGCGAACACCGTCACGGTAGGTAACGACCGTTGGGGGCCCCCAAACCACGGTAGGTCACTCACTATGGGGCCCTCACTATGGTATATCACCACCAGGGATCCCTCTACGACAGTAAGTCTCTACTCAGGGGCCTCTGCCATGGTAGACCATGCTTAAGGGCCATGGCAGGCCAAGCCTAAGGGCCATGGTAGGTCAAGGGTCAAGCTCAAAGATTACAATTAATTTCATTGGTGGACGTTGATGGTAAGTTACTATCGACAGCCTACATCCATTGTAGGCTAGCCTACATCCATGGTAGGCTAGCCTACATCCATGGAAGGCTAGCCTACATCCATGGATGTAGGCTAGCCTACATCCATGGTAGGCTAGCCTACATCCATGTTAAGCTAGCCTATATCCTCCATGGTAGGCTAGCCTACATCAATGGTAAGCTAGCCTAGCATACTTCTATGGTTCAGAAAGCAGGGTTTAGAAATAAAGATTCAAAACCTAGGGTTCAGAAACCAGGGTTCAGAAACCAAGGTTTCAGAAACTAAGGTTCAAAAGCCAGGATTCAGAAACCTGGGCTCAGACACCAGGGTTCAGAGACCAAGGTTCAAAAGCCAGGTTTCAGAAACCAAGGTTCAAAAGCCAGGGTTCAAAAACCAGGGCTCAGAAACCAAGGTTTAGAATCCAAGTTTCAAAATCCAGGGGTTCAGAAACCAAGGTTCAAAAGCCAGGGTTCAGAAACCAGGGCTCAGAAACCAAGGTTCAGAATCCAAGTTTCAAAATCCAGGGGTTTAGAAACCAGGGCTCAGAAACCAAGAAACAATGCTTCAAAAGCCAGGGTTCAGGAACAAGGGTTCAGGATGCAGGGTTCAGAAGCCAAGGTTCAGGAACCCAGGTTCAGAAATGAGGGTTCAGATGTACGGTAAGTTAATGTGATAGGTTTACTTTATTAGTAAGGTCAGTGCCATAGGTCTATAACAGTAAGGTCAGTGCCATAGGTCTATAACATTAGTAAGGTCAGTTCCATAGGTCTATAACAGTAAGGTCAGTGCCATAGGTCTATAACATTAGTAAGGTGTTCCATAGGTCTATAACAGTAAGGCCAGTGCCATAGGTCTAGCAGTAAGGTTAGTACCATAGGTATGTAACAGTAAGGTCAGTTCCATAGGTCTATAACAATAAGGCCAGTGCCATAGGTCTAACAGTAAGGTTAGTGCCATAAGTCTATAACATTAGTAAGGCCAGTGCCATAGGTCTAGCAGTAAGGTCAGTACCATAGGTCTATAACAGTAAGGTCAGTGCCATAGGTCTATAACATTAATAAGGTCAGTGCAGTAGGTCTATAACATTAGTGAGGTCAGTGCCACAAGTCTAACAGTAAGGTCAGTGCCATAGGTCTATAACAGTAAGGGCAGTGCCATAGGTCTAGCAGTAATGTCAGTGTCATATGCCAACAACATTTGTAAGGTCAATGCCATATTCCTAACAGTAAGATCACTGCTCTAGGTGTATAAATTAGTAAGGTCAGTTCCATAAGTCTGACAGTAAGGTCAGTGCCATAGGTCTATAACATTAATAAGGTCATTGCCATAGGTCTATAACAGTAAGGTCAGTGCCATAGGCCTATAACACTAGTAAGGTCAGTGCAATAGGTCTAACAGTAATGTCAGTGACATAGGTCTGTAGCAAGGTCAGTGCCATAGGCCTATAGCAGTATGGTCAGTGTCATAGGTCTATAAGAGTAAGATCAGTGCCATAGGTATGTAACAGTAAGGTCAGTGCCAGAGGTCTATAACATTAGTAAGGTCAGTGCCTTAGGTCTATAACATTAGTAAGGTCAATGTCATAGGTCTATAACATAGTAAGGTCAGTGTCATAGGTCTATAACAGTAAGTTCAGTGCCATAGGTTTGATAGTAAGGTCAGTGCTATAGGTCTATAACATTAGTAAGGTCAGTGCCATAGGTCTATAACATTATTAAGGTCAGTGCCATGAGTCTGTAACATTAGTAAGGTCAGTTCCATAGGCATGTAACAGTAAGATCAGTGCCATAGGTTTGTAACAGTAAAGTCAGTGCCACAGGTCTATAACTTTATTAAGCTCAGTGTCATAGGTCTATAACATTAGTAAGGTCAGTTCCATAGGTTTATGACAGGAAGGTCAGTTCCATGGGTCTGTGACATGAGTAAGGTCATTGCCAGTCTACCTATCTGGAAGTTGTTCCGGGGGTCAACTCCCCGACGGCCCGGTTCATGACCAGGTCTCATGGGGAATCAAGACCTGATCATCCAGGCTGTTACTACTGGCCACAGCAGTCCATCATGCGAACCACAGCCTGGCTGGTCAGGTACTGACTTTGTCTGTCTAGCTCCCTCTTGAAGACAGCTAGGTTCTTCAAGACAGGCAAGGGTCTTGAAGACAGCCAGGGGTCTATTGGTAATCCTCCTGATGTATGCTGGGAGGTTGCTGAACAGTCTTGGGCCCCTGACACTTATTGTCTCTTAGTGTACTCATGGCACCCCTGCTGGTCATTGGGGTATGTTGCACCACCTACTGAGTCTTTTGCTTTCATAGGGAGTGATTTCTGTGTTCAGATTTGGGACCAGTACCTCTAGGATTTTCCAGGTGTATTATATGATGCATCGTTCTCTCCTGTGTTCCAAGGAGTATAGGTTAAGGGACTTCAAATGGTCTCAGTTATTGAGGTGTTTTATTGTTCCTAAATGTTCAGTAAAAGTTATCTGTATATTCTCCACATCTGCAATTTTGTCTGTCTTGAAAGGGGCCATTAGTGTACACAGTAATACAGCCAAGAGAAAACAAGTGATTTAAGGAGTCATCATTGGCTTGCCATCCCTTGTTTGGAAGGCTCTCATTATCCATCCTATCATTTTCCTAGCATGTGTGATAATGACACATTGTTGTGATCTTTGAAGGTGAGATCCTCGTACATTATCACTAACAAGTCCTTCACATTATTTTTCCGCTCTGTTGTGTGCTTAGAATTTGTTATGTACTCCAATCTAGTATTTATTTTCTTAAGTTTTCCATAGTGGAGTAATTGAAATTTGTCCTTATTGAACTTGATATTTTCTGTGGCCCATTGAAAGATTGTTTATATATCTGCTTGGAGATTTGCTGTGTTCTCTTTGGGAACAATTACTGTACCTTGTGGAACAGAGCTTTTTGCTGTAGCTGCCACAGACTTAACTCTCTTTACTATTACTATTTATGTTTTATCTGTTAGGAAATTATAGATCCATCTACCCACTTTTCCTGTTATTCCTTTATCAGGCATTTTGTAAGCTGTTACACCATGATTGCACTTGTTGAAGGCTTTTGCAGTCTGTATATATCTGCATTTTGTTTGTCCTCCATCTCATTTAAGACAATGTCATATTTATCCAGTAGTTGTGAGAGTCAAGAGCAACCATCCAAAAACCATGTCATAGCGATTCAGCAGTTGAGAGGCAGGAGTGACCTGCTCTAAACCCATACTGCCCTGAGTTGTACAATTGCTGGGTATCCAAGTGGTTGATCTTGCTACTTTAGAACCCTTTAAAGACTTATGATGTGGGACATTAATGTCCTCAGTCTACAATTCTTGGCAATTGCTCTACTTCCACCTTTGTGAAGTGGAGCTATATCCTTTGTTTTTAGTGACTGTGTGATAACTTCCCATGTCTAGACTATGGGATGACACCCCATGTCCAGGGTGCCTCCCCATAGCATACATAAGGCAAGTGAAAGAGGTTTCTTGCAGTTCTTAATGAACACAGAGTTCTACAAGTCTGGGAATGGGGCATAGTGCATGGGCATGTCGTCTGTGAATTTTTTGAAGTCCAGTGGTGCTATTTCAGAAATTCTGGAAATAACCAAATTTTGATTGTTGATCCTTAGTCTGATTAATGACACACTAAACACTGAGTCATATTGAGACTTCAGTATCTCACTCATTTCTTTGCTGCCATTGGTGTAAGTCCCATCTTGTTTAAGCAAGGGCACAATACTGGATGTGGCTTTTGCCCTAGATTTGGCATATGAAAAGAAATGTTTTGGATTTCTTCCAGTTTCACTTATTGCTTTAAGTTCTTTCTATGTTTCCTGGATCCTGGATTCAGTATTTTTTATTACTCTAGCCAGTGCTTCCTTCCATATTCCAGATAGACTGGCCCCTTGGAGAAGCTCTGTGATTCTTCACCATCACCCACTAAACACAGTCAACCTTACTATAATGAACGATGGTACTTTACGACTCACTAAACACAGTCAACCTCCATGTTATGAACACAGGTGATTTATGATGGACCTGTTTCACCTGTTTGTAATTAAGTCAGCAAACACTCTACTAGGCAGTGCTGGGACAAAGCAAAAGACACCAGAGATATATAACTAATCCATGTATTCCTTCAAATAATATACAGATAATTACACTATGTAGAGCAAATATTTACAAGATGGAATTTGCAAGCAAGAGACATGAAGAGAGATGTCTTCGACTAAAGTGGAAGTCTGTGTATTCTGCTCAATGACTTAAAGACATTGCTTCACAGAATTGGAGGGCTTTCTCATGACTGGCTGATAAACCATCATCTAGCATAACAATGAGGCCCCAACTGCTATGCTTTTAATTGCTGGTTCACTGATCAGAAGGGCATGCCTACATGGGCATGTGACATAGTACGTACTTCGAATAAATTGTGACCTACTCTTCGCTTGCCACACCCCCACCCCAAGAGGGCTCTTAGAGCAAGGCTTAGGCATCCCTCAATGGGTAGTGTGCCACCATGGCACATAACATACTAATTGGACCACCATTTACCTCAACAATTCAACCCAGCAAGCAGTGCTCAACCCAAAGGACTTTAATGTCAAGCACTAACTCTAGAGTGAAACAACAGATAATAGGGCTAGCATAGGTCTAAGATACTTATGAACAGGAGCAATGTGTTCCCCTCACCAAAAAAAGCTCATGACTTTTATTTTTCACATAAATTGTTAACAGTTTGACCACACAGGAAAAAAAA